ACTGCATATATGCATGGTCGTATATCTCCCCTTAATTTTAACCTATAATATTCAAACTCAATCAGCTATTATATTATAACATACTATAGTACTATATCGAAGGAAATTATCATATATATATCATATATGTCATTATATCTATATCTATATCTATCTATCTATCTATCTATCTATCTATCTATCTATCTATCAATCTATCTATCTATCTCTCTATATATATATGCAGGGTGGTTCTAAAATATGTGTCAAAAATGTAAAGGTAGGTAGAGGGGACATAAATAAGCATATTTCGGATAGGAATGTGGTTGCGGTAAAGGCACATTAAAGCACTAGCTTGTAAAGCAGTATGAATCAGAGGAAACTGAAAAGACAAGTAAAGACAAAATAAAATAAAAATTTATCAACAGTTTACAAGAGGTGCTCGAAAGAGCAGCCACCAACATCGATACAAGATTCACAGCGACGGCGCATGGATCGGCGTAGAAAAGACGTTAGGCACGTCGAACACATGTAAAGCAGCAACAGACAAGCGGGCAATAAGATCTTCTTGATGGGACTCTCGAACACCAGGCTTTTGACATGACCCCAAAAGAAAAAATCCAAGCAGGTTAAATCAGGAGAACGCGATGGCCAGGGAACTGGACCACCCCGTCCTATCTAATGCTGGCCGTAGACAGCGTCCAGGTAATTTCTGACGCTCCCTGTACATCCTCTGAGCAGCTAATTCGTTTCCTTGTGCAGCCCCTTACATGAAATGCACGTCGGCAAGCTCCACATTGGTGAAACGATGCATGCTGTTTGAGATCCGTGCGGGAATCCAGCTAGCAAGCGCTTTNTAAATTTTGTTTGGGTAACAAACATATTGACACCAATGTAGGAATAAGATTATATCGCGATATATTTTTGAAAATTCATTGCGACATTAAAATTTGTACGCATTAGTCGTGGGTGTTAATGTTTGTGTGAGTGACGAACCTGACAACAAACTTTGCAATAAAGGTTAAATCTGTTAAACAACAAATTACAGAAAAAAACAAATATTTTTGAACACTCTATACCAGGAAATCAATCAATAACCCTGTAACTTGTATTGATTACTTTGATTATTATGTGCAATGACTGCATAAAATTTCGTTAGGCTAGTTTAAATATTTTCTGCAGATATAAGTAAGAAAAACTAATTTTTTGCCTTATATATTTTTGCTATAAAAATATTCAGTAAAATTAAACAAAATTTTTGGAGCAATTTTAAATTAATTACGAAATTATTGTTTTAAAATTTGAAATAATTTGTTAAAAAAGGCACAACATATGAGTAGTTAAATTAGTTCTTTTTTACTGCGTATGCGTGGAAAAAATTTTAAATTTCTTTTTCATAATTTTGTAGTGAAACGTATTTGGAAAGTAATGGAAAAAATCTTGTTTAAATATCTTAAAAATGTGAAAAGTTTCAATAAATTGTCTAAGTAGTTTTTAAACTTTTTAAAAGAAATCTCAAAATAATCAGGGGTTTTTCACAAATTTTATTATATAATATTGCAAATTATACTACCCTATCATGACTGGACAGCAGAAAAAAAATTAAAAAGGTGGTAAATCCCTTATAGTTCTGAATAGTTTTTCAAAAAATTTAAAAACTGAACTGTTTTTTTTTTTAAATTTTTCCTATGAAAATTGCTTGAAGCTTTTTTTTTTTTTTTTAAAGATATTTAAATCAAATTTTTTCCATTAGTTGCCAAATACGATTCACTATAGAATTGTGAAAAAAATAATAACTTTTTTCAGCTGATGCGCAGGATAGAAGAACTATTTTAAATACTCATATCCTGCGTATTTTTCAAAAAAAAAAAATTCAAATTTTAAAACAATAATTTTGTAATTTATTTTGAAATGCTCCAAAAATTTTGTTTAATTTTACTGAGTATTTTTAATGTCATAAATTTCTTTTTTTTCTAAAAATGTTTAGATCTCTATTAACATTTGAGCTAAATTTACGAAATTATATGCAGTCATTACAAATAAGAAAGTAATCGATACATGTTACAAGCTAATTGGTTGATTTTTTTAAATAGAGTGTTCAATAATACTTGTTTTTTTGTAATTTATTGTCGGTCCCTGAAAACTTTAAGCTTTATCGCAAAGTATGAAAGCTTGCATGAACTAAACTCTTTTAAAATTACAAACTAGTCCTCTAAGTATTTCTTGAGAAATTAAAAAAATATCAAAAACCGAAAGTGTCTCTTCCATTATTGTAGAGTAGTATATATAGTGATGATTAGAACCATAAAACGAGTTTTTAAATTGAGGAAAAAATCGAAGAAATCATAGTAGTGATATTTGGTGGTAAATGAAGCTGATCACAATTGAGTTGCGCGACATTTTATGGTGAGTTTGCGAAAATAAGGTTTTAAGAATGTATAGAAACATCAGGATGCTGCTTGCGAATCATCTTTACCAAAAGAAAACCATTCAATTAAATGTTTGGCATAATGAAATTATTGTTTAGTCAATGAAATATACAATATCCAACATTATTTTTAAACATATATATTTCAATGTTTTTAAAATGCCACTTGAAATTCTTAAATTTCTTCAGTTATAGAAAAAGAAATATCATAATTTTTATAAAATCTTGTGAAAGTGAATTATAATTGTAATCTTTTCCAAACCTTCTGCATTTTTTTTTTCTCTTTAAACTTTCTTGCGTAGAAGACTCGCTCAAAGCCTTAAAAATTATTAACACTGCAATTTCAAAAACAATAAGTTATGTAAATTTGATTTCAGAAATAAATCCTGATATAAATGAAATAAAAACAACGTGAAACGCACAAATATAATGAGATAAAAAAATTCTTGTCATATAATTCTAAAATCATGAATTTTCAAAGAGATTAAAAAGAAATCAATCTTTGGTCAGAAATCAGTTCAACAATGTCTTACCTAGTAACTTCAAGAAATTTTTCTATTAACTATTAATAAAACTATCAATAAATAGATCTTTCCGCGCTCTGTCACAAAATTTTGAATGAAAAAGCCTTCAGTTTTTCTTTTTCGTTTCTGTTGTCTCAACTTGGTTGCATAGCAACGGAGAAAAATTAGGTATTGCTCTCTTAAATTAATTTATGGTTATCTTAATCTACTCCATTCGGTGGAAGTAAGATTTCTTGACCGTTTTTGGGACTATCGCCAAATATAAATAGCGTATTCGGAGATAAGTTATTAAATTTAAATAGTTCATTCAGAGAAAGTACATTTATGTGTCTGATTTCGTAACTTCATTAATTGCAGGCACTAATTAATTAGCATATTAGAGGTCACCCCCAGAAACCATTAAGATAGACTCTTAGTTCGTGAAAATCCGATCATTAGAACGAGTTTTATTCAGGGTGATATCTTATTTTATCATGCCACTTTTGCTAATTCTTCATACCCTTCTTGTTCCTCAAGGCCACAAATTTGTACATGTGTAGAAAAATGTTGCAATATATANATATATATATATATATATATATATATATATATATATATATATATTTGTACATTTTGAGATATTTTAGGTCAAAGGTCTAATCAGGACACTTTTTAGGTTTGACTTCAGAAAGACCTATAACTTGAAAGGTCTATTTCTTAGCTTCGATATGGTGCTTCAAATTTTCTTTTGATATATTAGAAAAAAGTGCCATTTATAAGTTTTTTTTTCTTTGAGCAAAAATGTCATTTTTAATAATGTCACTTACTCAAAATTGTTCCGAAATAAATATAGTCGAACCCCATGTATTCAATATAGTAAAACATGTTCAAAATTGAAACAACATATACTCATTTTTGATACATTGCTTTTAAAATGACACATAATGTTATTCATTTTGATTAGTATGTTTAAATGAGAGTGGGTATAATACTAAAAGTCAATTTTTAGGCATTTTCTGTTTAAAAGAGCATAACTATAAAAATAACATTATATCATTTTATTTAATAAGGGTCGTAGAAATTTTGAATTGTAAAACATACAAGTTCTTTCATCATGTTTAAATTACAAAATTCACAATTTGAACAAAATTTTTTGAGAAATAAAAATTTAAAAATAGAGCTTTCTTGAAATTTCCTATCTTAATTTCACAATTTTCTATTTCGTTTAAATTTTGGATTTTACCTTTTAAAATTACGCAATTTTAAATTGTCAGAAATTGTTTATCTTACATTTCAAAAACTTTTGTTAAATGAAACATTTATTTATTAAATAAAAAAAATAAATAATTATTAGAATTATTTTTTACGTAAATCACATTCGGATAAATTTTGGGCAAAGTTTTCTTCCAATCGCTTAAATTATGAAACCAGACGCAAAACCGTACTTTCTCAGAGTAAACTTATCTTTCTTTTTTGTTGATTTATTTTTTGGATTACAGACCCTCACAATAGGAGAAGGGGGAGATATGGTCCCAATGGTTTAGTCAGGAAAGCTGTCGAAAATTAGGCCATATCTCGAGAACTTTTAAATTTTATACTTTACCATTTTAAAATTTGTTTACCATTTTAAAATTTGTTTACCTTGCAATTCAAAACTTTTCTACTATTATTAAATAAATAATTATTAAAAATTATTTTGAGCATGGAATTATCTTTGGATAAACAATTTTATAATTGTGTGCAGAAAGTTTCTGATTCGCTTGGGACCGTATTTCCCAGATAGGGGCTAACCCCCTCATCCATATTTTGAAGGTTAGAAATCGAAATCCGTCAAAAGAAGGTATGTTTATTCATAGGAAGTACGTTTTCGTGTTTGGTTTCTGCATTAATTAATTAGCATATTTGAAACAAAAATGATTATTTGCCTCATATTATATCGTTTAATTTCAATTAAAAAAGAAGAAACGCGCGAGCGAAGAATAAAAAGTACGCCAGTGGAATGACACGAAAAACAGATCTTTTTGATAAATAACGGCAGCTGACGCATCTACTACTCTATCTTTACGCGGAAGAAAGAGATTCTTTTCCTATGTTGGACCAACCCTGACAGCTGATTTCGCAGCTGTGTAAGTTGTAATACGATAAAAAAATAGTTCCTGCTCATTTTCATTTCATTTAAGCAGATCTTACCTTTAATTCACAATAAAGGCAAACAAATATAAATACTGACTACTTTTTATCATTATGCTATCAAAATTGCGTTTTAAAAATTTAAAAAATATTCAACACGTGCGCGGATGAATCAATGTACTCCGTCAGTGAATGTTTCCCGCGCAAAAGTACGATAGGCGCAGCGCTTGGATGTGAATCAAGGTGTGATATTTGTGTTACTATTAATCGCGATTTGTGTTAGATGTGAAAAAAAACAAACAATTCTTAGCGCAGAGTTTGTCCAGAACTTTGTGTAAAATGGCGTTTTATCATCGGAATAATGAAAGAAAGCAGCGTCATGATTATCGGCGGGAAGAAGAGGAAGTTGTCGGCAGCCTGTGCAGGTATGTTGCTGCGCCTTTTTCTTTATTCCTTGTAGTAGAGTTGTAAAAGCGTGCTATCAGCTGGTCATAATGTTTACGCTTGCTTTTCATTGATTTCATTTGATTTTATGTCTCTAATTTCAAAGAGCAACCGATGCCAAATATGATAAAAGAAAAAAAGTTTCGATTGGCACGTGTGGACAGGGAGGTGTGTCCCCTCAGGTGTTCTAATTGATATAAGACAAGGGTGCGCGCCAAACATTTAATTGATAGATGCTGCCAAAATTTTCTTTGATTAATTTAAAAGATGAAAAAATAAACTCAAAATTTTTTTAATTATGCAGTTTGAGATATGTGTTTGTTTTTGCATTTTTCAGATCATTTAATGATTAAAACAATGATCCTTTTGCCACACTGACTGCCAACTTATACGATTTATACAAACGTCATTTTCTAGTGGTAGCCGGTTTCACTCTTTCATATATAGCTCTGAGTTCGTAAATTTTGATTTGAAATCATTTTAATCTCCACAACAATAAGAACTGAAAAAAAATTATACAAAAAAGTTTGAAAATTTTGCCTTTGTTTATAGCGGTCCACGAAAAACTGAAAAAGAAAAAAATCACTGGAGAGACCAACCAGAAAAGTTTAACTCGTTTTTTTTTTCATTTTAAATTGCAAGTTTTAAAATTTATTTAACGCCTTGTGATTTTAGTTGACGTATGGATGCTACTATTAATCGGGTAGTTGTAATAGAAAGTAGTAGTTGTTATTCAACTACAACTAATGAAAATCTTTACCAAAATCGCAAAAGCTGACAGTTATGAGATTTAATGTTCCACTTCGTAAAATCCTTTTAATATTTCATTAGCTATTGTATTGTTTTGCAAATATTTATTTTGGTCAATTAGATATGAAATAAAACTTGATGATTAGACTGCATTTTTGAATATAGTTTTACTGTATCAAAATACCTAAAAGTTTATTATATATCTCTTTCAATTAAATTAATAGCTCAAGTTTTAAAATAAATTTTTCCTGCAGCTGTTAAAATTGAAGTATTTTGGTACTCTTTTGTGTTTAAAATACATTGATTTACTGTGAATGTAGCTTTTATCTCTGTTGACATTTTCACCAAGCAATATTTGATAAGAATGTTCTGAGTACAATTTATTTAAATTAACAACATAAAAAAGTTTCTGTTAAATACCTTTTTTTGCATGAACGCAATAGGTATTTTTCCACCAAGCAATATATTGTTTGTGATTGCATTATAATTTTAATGTGTCTCGTTTTTTATTTTTTTGCATACATAATCTTTATATTTAGTGAAATTCTTGTTAGTGGGGAAAATCTTATCATTGCTGATACCTCACTCTATTTCGGATCAAACTTAAATCCTTCACATTTTTTCACTGAGTACTCTGTTTAGCAGTTATATGAATTGCCTATTATATATTTAATGATAATGTAATATTTTAGCAATTATAATTTCATTTTATTTCCGAATCTATTAAAGTTAATATTATTGAATTATAGTGTAATCTAATTATAGATAATTATTATTGTATTTGAAACCTAATGTAACTCAGTTGATATTTTAATAGATTACATAAACTAGATTATATGAACTAAAGATTATATTATAAAGATATGAACTAAAAAGTGCTTGATGTCTTTAACCCCATTGCAGAATTATTTTGGGCTTAATTTAAAGTAACAGAAACGTTGTGTTTACAAAAAAAATCTTATTAGGATAAAATAAGGTTTATATAATTTCTTTTTAAATGAATATGTATTTTTCTTCCATTCTAATAACATGGGCGATATTCTCACATTTTGTTGGAAAAAAACACACTAATTTCCTTTTTCGCATTTCGTAAATCATCATCACTTCGAAAAAATAAATACAAATTAAAGAATAGTTAAATCTGTAGCAGTGAATACTGAAAAAAGATTACACGAATGTGTTTTGTTTTGAGATTTGGTTATTGTAATAAATAACCGTATTAAACAATCGCGAACATTTCTTTTATCTCTGATGCGTGGGAAAGGAATCTTTTGTAAAATGAAGTATAAGTTTTATTATATAATATAAGTTGTTATTCAATAATTCTTGAGAATAAAAATCTTCTGAAAATCTGTGCAGAAAAGAAAACAAATTTTTTTCTACTTCTTTACTTTTCATTATTTCCAAATAAGAATAGAAAAATTACAACCATTTCTTTTCTCTCTGATGCGTGAAAAAGGGATCTTTTGAATATAATTATAGAGAAAAAAAATCCTTCAGACATTTCTGCAGAAAAGAAATTTTTTATTTTCTTTATTTTTCATTCTTCTCTAATAAGAATAGAAAAATCTCAAACATTTCTTTCACTTCCTATGCATGAAAAAGGCATCTTTTAAATATAATTTTAGAGAAAAAAATATTGAAAATTTTGCCACTGGGTCACTGTGTCAGAATTTTTTTCGAGCTTTTAGATAGCAGAAGTGTCAGCACAAAAAGAAACTTATTATTCTTCTCATAATAATTCCCCTCCCAATTTTCTAAATGATTCATCTCCCAATGATCATTGAAAGCTCTATTTTCTCTATCGATCTTGCATTTCTTTCCACTCATTATGAATATTTTGTATAAAATGAACAATTAGAGAACAGAAATTTAGTAAACTTATGTTAAAAAATCTCTATTTCCTACTATGAAACACTTGTAAACATTAACTTCCTTCAACACAAAAGAAAAACAGGCACTTATCATGACAATATTAAGCTGAATGAAGAGAAATGTCATCTTCGAGTATTGTAGAACCCACTTTGGTCAGCATCGTATGAACAAAATAGACTAGATGTTGAGAAAGTGTAAGAAAACTAAAACATTCAGCTTTTCCTTAAGAAGGATAGATACCGAAGAATGGTAGTGTATTGGATATTGTAATAGATTTTTCTTTAAATAGTGTAACTTTTCTAAACGGATTTTTCACAAACGTAATTCTATTTCTATGTATAGTCTTTGCTTATCAATGAAAAAGAAAAATTGTTTTTATTTTCCATACCCTCCAACTTATGAGGATTTTGAAAATAATTCTTTCTAGTGGTAGCGAACCAAAGTAGAAATTTTTAAAGCAAATGGATCTCTCATAAAACTTTTATCAGAACTTAAGAATCTAGCCATATGGCATGCACTTTTATAAGTAATAGTGGACAAGTTACGCTAAAATTAATTTTTTTTAAATATTAAGACATTAATTTTGCTACCGTCTGAAAAGAAGATTTCTGAAACTACGGAAATTCCGTAGCAGTTGGAGGGTATGATTTTCCCTCTTCTCTTTAAACTCTGGGTCATACCTAGACCAACGACTTTGTCTGAAAAACAAAATTCACTGATGATTTTTTTTAAAAATATTGAATTCAGTTGATAATTATTTTTAGAAGAGATCAAAGCTTAAGTAATGATACTGTTTTAGTGATTCAAAATCAATTTCTTGGTGATATGCACTTTTGTTGGCGTCGTGAAGATGGGATCACTGAAAATAAATAGAAATATTTTAAATAAATGAATAAATATGTTTTTGGTTAGGTTGCATTTAGTTTTACTTTATTAAAATTGGTTTAACTTAAAAAAAAGAGAAAAGGTTTGTTTAAGGTGTTTATTTCTTAAAAAACTTTTTTTTTCTAATTTAACTTTTTATCTTTAGTGCACTTAGACTGCAACATGGTGTTGTTCTATTTCTTACAGAGATTGTAAAAAAAAAAAAGAAACTGGTTAAATTAGAGTTATTTACAAACATCTTGAATACTTTCGAATCTATTTTTTTTTTAAAAAAAATATTTTTTCGTGTTTCCATATTTGACATTTTCCGCATTTAGTGCAAAGGTTTGTGCGGTCACTAGAGGAGGATTTAATGGTCTCTCCTAAAGGTTTTCTTCATCACTAAGTCTATGGAAAGAATTCTGTGTCTCCTAAAACTGGTAGTAAATAGAGGAGGCCGCTACGCAGAAGTGGGCTTTCCTGGAGGTTTCATTGTGTGTGTGTATGTATATTGCAGTTTTTGACCAGAAAAAAAAAGAAAAGTGTATTAAGATTTTAGCAGGTCCTGCAGTTCTTTGGGTCCTAATCTTCAGCCCACCTAGCTTATCATTAATTAAATATCTAATAAAAATTTCTGGTGTCCCCCGTGTAATTGCCTGTTTCTTTAGATAGAAAAGAGGTCTTTAAATTGAGTTAATTATCTTTCTGCGACACTCTCCTGTTCACCATTTAACTCTGTACCCTGAAGAAGTTCACTCATGAATGTTTCAGAAGGCTTATTTTATGTTTGATAATGTTACGGAGCTATCAGTATACATTAAGCATTGATTAAATTTAATACTAGTTAACTGTCTTCACTTAACATCTCACAACATTGCACTTGCCACTCACCTCTACTCTCGCTGTAACAATAGCTTTGGTTAATACAGGTCGCCAACACTTCACCTTCCCTTAGAACTTTCGCTTTATTATTAACAAGTTGTTCCTGGAAAAGCCGGCATGATAAGAAGCCTGTTCAGAAAGAATTCCTGAACTGATAGGATTTCTTGTTTTAAACACTGCAATGTCTTCTGAACTTAAGTGCAATTCGTTGTTTTTGAAGTCCAATTTAAATTTATTTCCTTGTAAAGGGTTGTAGTTTGGGAATGAATTCATCACTGATAACTGCCACATTGATTTTTTGTGTCCTGTCACAGTCTGCAGTGCAGCGTGGGGCGGAGTTCAGCATAGAGAATTGTATCACCATATTGTGATTAAAAAGTTATCTTTAAATTCAAAAATAGAAGAATTTTGAAAACAGATATTTAGAATTAATGAAATTGAACATTGTAGTTAAAATGCATTTCATTTTCTTAGTTTTGCTGTTACCATTTGAGTTTCTTAAAGACCTTACAAACTCTGTTTGCAGGAGAGTATTGTATCAGATATATGTAGTGATGATGAGAATTGTAAAACAAGTTTGAAATTAAAGAAAAAACAAAGAAATCATGGA